TTTATTGTTATCCTCCGCATTGTGTTTAAGATTTAAAGGGTTTCACACATGAAATGTATAACAGAGCGTAAGCATAACATAAGACTGCTGGACTAATAAGCATCTAGGATAATGTCGCCATGTTGATTTATATAAGATGCTTATTGGTTTAGCGGCCTTATGTTATACTTATATTCTGTTATGCATTTCATGTGTAAGCTCTTAAGGGTAAAGCGGGAAGCATAGACTCTTGCATAACGCATAACACATAAGACATAAGAAATTGAATCAGAGTTTTTTATTTCATGGAAAGAAAGAAAACAGAAGACTTCGATTGGTACATTCTCTTCATTACGTGTTATGTGTTATGCCAAAGTTTGTGCTACTCGCTTAAATCTTCTCAAACTTGCATAATCGCATAAACGTATGTATAAAGAAAATTATCCAATTGCATTTCTCATATAAAAACGCATGTAAAATGTGATTGGATAATTTTCTTTATGCATATTAGAGTGAGTATAAAGAGAGTGACGCCAATTAGCTAAATCCGGATCCTCATATGGACAACAGCGCTTTGACACCGAACGCTGATTGATGAAAAACGGGTGATGGGAGGATAAATTTTACCGTTACAAACAGTTTTTCACCAATTAGCGCTCTGGGTCAAAGCGCTATTGTCTGTATGAGGATCCGAGATAATGCATATGTTTATGCAGCTATGCAAATTTGTGGATATATCCTAATGGTGAATTCGATCATTCATATTACACTGTATCAGTGCATATTAAAAACTACTTTATATAAACTTAATGCAATGATACAATATAATCAACTTTGACAATGAAATGATACACATATATTTTGTTAAATAACATGACAATATCATTAGTAGATAGTTAATTGTTTAAAATATTTATATATATATACATATATATATATATATATGTGTATACATATAAATATATACTCTTTAATGTAGTGCAAAAAAGTGATCGAATTCGCTGTAACATACAACTTACTTTGAATGTATTCCGAATCAGATTAGCTTAACTTATTTTTTTCCTTAGATGTTGGCAATTCCATAACTGAGAAGTGTTCAGAATATCAATCATGTAACTTTTTTTTTTAGTATAAAAAGTAAAAAATGAAACATTTCTTCATTAACTTCATTATGGTTAAAATTTTCACTTTTCGCTTTTCATCCTAAGAATAAAGTTTCACAATTGATAATCCCCTAAACTCATCAACCATCAAACTCAGCTACTGGCTTCTATTGGTTACGAGTTATGACAACTGACGACGGTGTGCAGGGGATCGTATCTTGAAATGAGGTAAAAATTACAAAAGTGAGCGAATTTACTAGAATATTAATAATTTCATAGTCAACATCTAGTAAATTTGCTCATTTTTGTAATTTTCATCTTGTTTGAAAATACAGAATCGATCCCCAGAACACTTCTCGGTTTAATTACGGAACTGCCAACATCTAGGGAAAAAAATAAGCTAGCCTAATCCGGTTCGGAATACACCCTTTAAATACGTTACTGAAGCAGTGCTACGCATGCGCCAGAAAAGTGGCCCGTATATCATTGGTATTCTTTCTGTTTTATGTTACTATGGAGCACTAGACTGCTTTAGAACTTTCTTTCTTGCTTTCGATAAATATCAAACGTATAACTATCTCACTTTAAGTTCTAAAAGTGTACACTAGTTCAACTACTAGAAAACAGATCTCATCACTATTTAGTAAGTAATAGGAAAGTAGGACAATGTAAGGGTTGTTCTGTTGTTCTTGCTACCCAACGGAAGTCGCAGTTAGAAAAAGGTGTTGAATAAGTTAATTTCGCATAGATGTTCTAAATCGTGACATTAGTTCTCGTAAATAGAGTTCCATTATCAGGAAAAGGCGAAAAAGAATATTCCATTCATTGATTCTTTCGGAGGCTAGTGGCATTTATGCTGAGAGAAACAGTAGAGTAAGTACAACTACACAACGATAAAGGTTATTAATCCTCAATGAGAAACTCTTTGATAACAGTATTCAAAGCTCGATCTCTTAAACTTATTCTACTTGTAATGTACTTTTTGTGTCTTGTTTCTTGCATTTTTATTTTTATTTTTTGCACGGGATAAAAGTTAATGAACTTCGAAAGAAACAACAAACATATGATGAGACATAAAATTATCGGCCGTAAAAAGGGAAAAAGAGGGAAACGCTTGTTTCCAATTTCCTAAGAAACAGGAAACAAGAAGCACATTGTAGAATAAGCTTTAAAATCAAGCTTAAGATTAAAAATCATTCATTAGCTGGTTTCTTTCCAGATTCTTTCCAAGATTTAAAATGCATGTTGAAACGTTCGAAACTTCTCGAAATTTTTCAATGTTCCGCCATCTTTTGGATACTATGTTTAAAAGATATTTTAATATTTTAGATAGTATTTTTAAACGTTTTACATTTTAAACTATCTAAACAAAATTACCCACGAACAGACTTAAGATCTTGAATATAAAGTTTGATTGTGAATACTATTCGTAATCTTAGCGTTTCCTTTAGCGTCTTCTTTGTGAAAAAGGAAGTCTGCCATGATGGCTTAAATAAAATACGCGAACTACGAGGAAATGATGCTGATCTAGAGTATGATCAACGTGATGCTGCAAACACTGAAATGTTTTTTAATTGGTCAGTTTATAAAATTCTTTCTTCTAATTGGTCCATCAAATGTTTCAAAGCATTTATAGCAAGACTTTAACCCTTGAGCTATGTTCAGATTTAGGCTATGTTCCAAAACTTATTCTCCGAGGAAGATTTTATTCTATATGCTATAGTATGTGTTACGTGTATTATATATTTCGAGTAAAATTTTCCTCAGAAAGGAAGTTTTAAAACGTAACCTTAGAGTGGATATAAAAAGAACGACATCAATGCATAAAAATGCTGATTCGCTTCTCCATTAAGGACCGGTATTCCTCCTTTTGATAAATTTTACCTGTATTTGGTAATTC